TTGAAACTGTGAGTTACTATTGGTTATGGTTTTTCTCTAGATAAGTGGTAATATTTTAATCCCAGGTCCCAAGTGCAGATGCCTGATCTGATATCTGGCTCTTTTCACTCAACAAACTTTCTTAATTCTGACATATTTTTTTTCTGTCAATATTTGGAGTTTCTGTGGGGAAAAAACAGTAGACTCTAAAGGGAAAAATATTTTGCCTCTGGGCAAAATTTTCTTCTCAGATGAACATGCTGTTTTCATCTGTCAAGGTTTGTTTTCCCTCTAGGCATACTCTTAGCATTGGGATATAGAATCTATACTTAAAGAAAGAGAAACTACAACAACCGAGATTTCCTATGCATGTCTGTAAAAATTGTTTTCCCATAAAAAACTGTAATCAGCACAAATAGATATTATATATGAGGACAACGTATAGCCAGAAAGTATTTATTTATTTCCCTTTCATTTTCAATGGAAAAGGAATATTTATCATCCCATAATAGGGAAAAATCCACAGTTTCTTTTCAAACCCTTTTTGGATTATTTTACTTTTTGTCTTTTTTTTTTTTTTTTTTTTTCTGATAGGTTGCCCAGAATGCAAGCTCAAGGAAAATAAATACTTCTCCAAGCTGGGTGCCCCAATTTATCAGTGCATGGGCTGCTGCTTCTCCAGAGCATATCCCACACCAGCAAGGTCCAAGAAGACAATGTTGGTTCCAAAAAACATAACTTCAGAGGCCACATGCTGTGTGGCCAAAGCATTTACCAAGGTAAGAACTTGAAGGGCCCCGGAAGCTTTTTAAGGCTAGCCAGAGAAAGGCTCACAGAGCACATCCACAGGATTTAATGCCAAAGGTGTCTAATGCCATCCTTTTTTGGGCATTTGCGCAGTCAGGGGCTGCATTTGTATCCTTTAATTAAAAGAGTCAGCTGTCTTGTGGGTACCTGCTGGATTTATTCAGAATGAAGAGAATGGGGTGGAGGTGACAGGGGGAGATTGGAAGGAAGTATAGCATACTTACACAGGCAAACCTAACCTCTTAGAGTAAAAACATCCCCTGATGGGAGACTGTGCAAATGTAGCATGCATGTATTTAGTTCAGCTGACTACAGATAATTTTATTTAACATTTTTTCAATTTTATCTATCTATTTATCATCTAGTTTTTTCTTCCCCTTTAGGCCACAGTAATGGGAAACGCCAAAGTGGAGAACCACACGGAGTGCCACTGCAGTACTTGTTATTATCACAAATCTTAAATATTTTGCAAAGTACCATGTCGATGACTGCTGATTTCCTGGAATGGAAAATTAAGTTGTTCGGTGTTTATGGCCTTGAGAGATAAAAGCCTCCTTTTCTTTACCATACCATTCTGACACGCTTCAAAGAGATACTGCAGCTTTATTGCCTTTTTCCTCATCCTACAGTGCAATCAGTAGTCTATCGCTTTTCATTTGGAATGAAATACAGCATTTAGCCAGTTCCACTGCAAATAAAGCCTTTTAAATCATCATTCAATCACTGAATTATGTTTTCTTTCTTACAAGTAAAGCCAATTGCTTGTGATAGAATTAATGGAAGGGAGTGAACCAACGGGTGAGTTTGGGCCACATGTACTTAGTGACCTGACATTGAAGAACCTTCTCACCAAGCCTTCTAGAAACAAGCTGTGAGTCCTTTCAGTCAGTGGGCTAGTCATAAGACAATTTATCGGAATGAGAGGGGAAAATATGAGGACTTCTATTTCTATTCATTTTTATATCACTTCTTTAAATTTCCATTTTGATGGATTTTATAGAAGCACAGATATATTAGTATAGTAATACATGTATATAATTTATAAATA